CGTGAAGGAGCATAGACCGCTCACCAGTATTCTCCATCCAACTCTGTCATGGGCAATCCTTTCTAGCTCCTTCCAGTTGTTATTCATCCTTTTCATATCTATTTCTATTTCTCGACGTAATGTGTTCTTTGAACTTCCTCTTTTTCGCTTCCCTTCAGGATTCCAAGTTAGGGCTTGCCTCGTGATGCAGTTTGATGATTACCTCAATGTGTGTCCAATCCATTTCCATCGTCTTTTCCTAATTTCCTCCTCAGCTGGAAGTTAATTTGTTTTCTCCCACATAAGGCTGTTGCTGATGGTATCCGGCCAATGGATGTTGAGTATCTTTCGTAGACAGCTATTTATAAATAATTGTACCTTCTTGATTATGATTATATTAGTTCTCCAAGTTTCAGCTCCATACAATAGAACTGACTGTTTTGACGTTCGTATTGAAGATTGGTTGAAAGTTGTTTTGGGTTCCATATGTTGTTCAACTGTAGGAATGCTGTCCTTGCTTTGCCAATCCTTGCCTTTACGTCTGCATCTGAACCTCCTTGTTCATCGATGATGCTTCCCAAGTATGTGAAGGGTTCTACATCTTCCAGAGTTTCGCCATTGAGAGTGATTAGACTGCTGTCTTCCGTTTTGAATTTGAGGACCTTGGTTTTCCCTTTGTGTATGTTGAGGCGTACTGATGCACAGACTAATGCTACTCTGGCTGTCTTTATCTGCATTTGTTCGCGTGTATGCGATAGGAGAGCTAGATCATCTGCGAAGTCCAAATCATTTATTTGGTTCTGAGCTGTCCATTGTATTCCATGTTTTCCTTCAGATACCGAGGTCTTCATAATCCAGTCGACCACCAGAAGAAAGATGAAGGGAGATAGTAGATGGTCTTGTCTGATTCCGGTCCTTACTTGGAATGCGTCTGTCAGCTGTCCTCTATGCAGATTTTCAGATTAAAAGATTTTAATTTTAATGCAATAAACAAATGATATCTTTATAAAGGGGGTTTGTGGAGATTGATGAACTTTAGGTCTCCATCATGGATTGATATGAAATAGATAACAATCAAAAACAAAGAATCTATAAACAGTTATTTGGTTGTTAGAATTTCAAGAGTTCTAGTAAGAAACCGTAAGATAAAAGGTTCATCCATAATAATTGTAAGACAGCTGCCTACCAATGACATTGAAAGATGGTTCTATAATATTGTGTAACAGTAAAAGTTACCAGACTATTAGTTTTAATGTTAAGCCCTCATCATGAGACCTGAACTTACTGCATTCGATCCATTGATAGATCACATATGTGTACTTAGTATTATCAGCTTTATTCAATATTATATTTTTGGTACAATATAGAATTCTCAGCACAAAGTATTTCATCAAGTTTCCTTACCTTATTTCTTCATCTATCCTGACGATAAGTACTGAGTGATCATCAGTTAGATGTTAGCAGTTCAGTCAGTTGACATCTGAATTATGTTCATTCTTTTTGATGCATATTGCAAGCAACTACGATGTCACTGATTGGTCTGTTTTGTAACTTGTACAGCGAAATGTCGTGAACGTTTCAGAAACTCACTTGGATATGTTGTGTGATTAATAGACATAATGACGTGTTAAAACAAACAAACAAGAAAACAGATAACTTGTTGAAACAACTCTATGATGCAAGCACATTCAGTTGACGAGCCCCAAATAGGAAGAAACACGTGTCAAACTGGATCCCACTACTAGCCACCATCCATCTTTGCTTATAAGTACAGAATACTTTTATCATTTGTATTTGTAAATTAATCATATTATATTGAACTACTTTTGAATAACTAAGCTAAACAATTTAATAGTGTAGTCTAATTGATTACTTACTTATTTACTTACTTACGCCTGTTACTCCCAATGGCCCATTGGGATTACGACCAGCATTCTCCAACCCACTCAGTACTGGGCTTTCCTTTCTACTTCTATCCACTTGTTGTTTATTCTTCTCATATCTGTCTCCATTTCCGGCGTAATGTGTTCTTTGTTCTTCCTCTACTCCTTTGGCCTTAAGGATTCCCTTAGAGGGCTTACCTTGTGACACAGCTGGGTGCTTTCCTCAATGTGTGTCGAATTGATAGAGAACATTAATCCTGAATATCATGCTTGAAATTCGAAATCAATGAACAGAAGTTTAATTTGCCTAATTTCCTTGATATTCGTTGAATAAAATATTTGTATCTAAAGTCAATAGAAGAGTTGATTTGGTTATGTTAAAAAAACGATTACTAAAGTTAAGTATAAGTCATAAGTATCTGTACCGATCAAAATTATCTCAATTATTGTAGCCTCTGAAGCAGTAGACATCAACGTACACAAGGGAAAAAAAGTAAGATAATCCTAGTGTGTGGAGCTGAAACTTGCAGGACTACCACAACCATCATCAAAAATGAACAAGCATTTAAAATCTGTTGTCTACGCAAGATGCTAAGTGTTCATTGGTTGGTTACCATCAGCAACAACTTATTATAGGAGAGAACATACCAACTTCCAGTCCAAGGGGAAATCGGAAAACCGTACTGGAGATGGATAGGATATTCATTACAAAAATCATTAAACAGAATCTCTGGAAAACTTCTAACTTAGAATAGTGAAGGCAAAAGTAAAAGAAGCAAATTAAAGAACATGTTGCACTGGGCATTGTAGTTAGATATCTAAAGAATATACAGCACTTAGCAACAACTTAAAAGGAGAGATTAGAATATAGTTGGTTGAAAGTCTGTGACTCACGAGGAGTAACAGGCATAAGCGTGTAGGTAATTTGTTGTTGAAGACCACGATACTTCCGACAACTTCAATCTAGATTATAAATATTTACTACCATTCCAATTTTATCCGTTTTGTAATCTCAAATAATTCACACAATGTGTTTGAGTGATCCAGGGTTCTGTGAGCTTTTGTGAATGGTCTCAAGGTAGATCCTCACAGTTCCAGTGCCACATTGTGACTGATTTAGTTTATGGCCCTGCATCATGTTTCACCATATTACAAACTGACCTTATCCAAAAGATCTGTGAAAGTTCCTAGGAATGAAAATCTTTGGCTGTCTTAATTTCCAATGTTTTACTAACCCGCTACTGGACAATGGTTCTGCGTTATGTAACTAATCTTTAAAAAAATTATTTCATCCATTTTTTTGTTTTATATAAAGTTTTCAACATGAAGTTCTCAAGATTGTTTTCAGGTTTTACATAAACGTTAATAGCCATGTTAGCCAGTTGGTCTGACTTGAAGGTACACATTCAATGAAAGCATGATACAAACGGAACTAGTTTCTTTATTCATCGTATCGGTAATAGACTCTTTATTGATTAGATTGATTTCTCTCAACAAAAGCTCTTTATAAACTACTTATTCGCAAAGTATACATGCTATTCTTGAAGAAGATAAACCACTAGAAACATCAAAATAATTAACTGATTTATTAAAACAGTTTAATAGTTGAATTCATGAGTCAATTAAAGCTAGCCCACCATGAAAAACCTGGAAGCGTTGGACGGCCGTTTCGTCCTAGTATGGGACTCTTCAGTAGTGTGAATCCACGGTCCCGATGGTCGGAGTCGATCCCAGGACCTATGGGTCTCGCGTGCGAACGCTTAACCTCTACAACGGTTTTAATATTTAACTTCAACCAATCCACGAAATTTCGCCACCGTTCACCATTGTCTTCAGTAAATCACTGCCTTACAACAGACCAGTTTGAACTCAACTAGTTACGTCTTCTCACTAGAACTCCAGGAAATACCTTTCGAAGACAATTACTAGTAAGCACATGATGATTATTATCGGAAAGTGGATGCGTACTGCTCAGGAGTCCCATACTACGACAAAACGACTATCCAATCCTTTCAAGTTTTCCATGATTGCCTAGACTTAATCAACGCATCCATTCAATTATTAACAATTACTACGCTCTTCACAACCCCCCTCTTTCTAATCTCCCTAATTCTTCATGTTCCCAAATTTATTTCAGTAGATTATACTCCTTGAATAACATCTTCAAACCTTAATCTTTCCAATTACTGCTTTTACTCTTACTACCTTTACCACTATGGCATTTGAATCGACAACTGAATCTCTGTGCTAATGTGGTATGTCAACTCGAACTGATGTACGTACGTACGAAGTTCTACGTTGTTATTAACTGAGTGAACCCTTTTCCCCATCTTTCTAATCATAAAATAATTTATTTCATCATCTTTAAACTAGTATTCTGTTTTGATCATTTCATTGAATGCAATACTTTAAGGAGAAAAAAACAACAACTTTCTTTCTACAATCAATGGAAACATTTGCTTACAAATTATCAAAGCACCTGTCTATTATTATTATTATTATTATTATTATTATTATTATTACCCTTTAATACTTGTAATAGTTAAGGTTTTGTCCTATATATTGTATACTCCGATTTTGCGTACATATTTTGCACAGTTTTTTTTCCATAAATTTCATGTATATACTGATTATGACTGTACAAATTTGTTGTATTACCCTAGATGGTAAGCTTTTATCTCTTAGCTTGATATGCCTATAACAATAGAATGTATTCCTAGTACATATATATATATATATATATATATATATATATATATATATGCCTATATTATTAATAGGCATTTTCCCTTATTTATATAAAATTTAAGTATGTCTGTTATATGTGTTCGTTTTTTCGTCGTTTTTGTTGTTGTTGTTGTTGAGATTCTTTTCTCTTTTTTTCTTTCGTTTCTTCTATCTTTCACATCATTTTCTTTTTGTATTTATCTCTCTCACTCTCTCTCTCTCAGTGTGTATGTGTGTGGAGGGGGGGGTAGATACATACACATGTAAACTGTTCGTTTATGATACCTAGTTCATAAGAGATATTATCTATTCTAACTATTTTACCGTTTTATTTGTTTTAAATTTCTCTCTCTTTTTTCTTTCTTTTAAAAAAAACAAACAAAAAAAAACAAAAAACAAACAAACCGTCAGATATCTATCGAAACTTCAGTTGAGTAATGTACATACCACTGACAATGCTAATTATACATGTTTAGCAGAGAATTTAAATGGTCATATACGTAAATCAGTACAAGTGATTGGTAAGTAATTGTATGATTAACGATTTGTGAATGATACACACATGTATAATTCAGATATAATGAAGTATAGAATGAACGACATGTAGACTGTTTCTTTTCTTTTCTTTTCTTTGTTTTGTTTTGTTTAATAGTTCGAAATGTATATTTATGGTATGTTTATATAATAATGTCCATAGTTCAAATTTACTTGGTATTGTTTGATTAGATCTTCTCATTAATGTGTGTACTGTAGGGATTGTTTCGATATTGATTGAAGTCACAAGTAAAGATGGATGATAGCTAACAGTGGAATCTAGAACGTGTATTTTGTCATATTTAGGACTCGTCAAATGGATATACTTGCATCTTAGAATTGATGGTCACTCCCGAACTCGAACCCAGTTCCATTCTTTCCCATATAATTAGTAGATACATTGTACATTTGAAATTAAACGTAACAAACATTTCAAAGAATCCATTGATTGTTGATTTACAAAGATTTCATATCATCAATACTTTTTGTGTATGGTCTCCATAATGCTTATTTAATTAAACAATTTCTTAAGATCCTTGATATACACTATATCATATGTTACGTCGAAAATGTGTCACATTCAACAGATTCATTCTTTGAAATTTATACCACAGTTTATGAACATTCGTAATGTCGAAGTTGTATAAACAGTAATATGATAAGAATTATACAAAGAAATAAAATGAATTCATATTATTCTAACCAAATCATTCTTCTTTTTGCTGTCAAGTTAATAAAATGAACCATACCATAGTATGAACTGATCATCTCTCCAATTTTTTTCAACCAATCTCAGTATTGGCAAATAATACACCACGCAAAATTCTGTGAAATGAGATTCATAGGACATGTACAAGCTACCAAAGTTGATATTTTAAGATAGTGGCATCAATTAAATTATTATCATTGTGCTAGAACACACATTACCGTACCTCTGTATTACTAACATAGTGTTGTTATTGTATCTCAACAATCTTTCAAAGACAACAATCATCAAAACACAAAGAGTTTCACATAATTAAATATAAATTTATTGTTATCTTAACAGTTGAGATCATAAGTCGATTGAAGCGCCTGGCGCGAGACTGACAGGTTCTGGGTTCCAATCTCGCGAGGTTCAAGATCGTGGATGCGCACTGTTGAGGAGTCCCATACTAGGACGAAATGGCCGTCCACTGCTTTCAGGTTTTCCATGGTGGTCTAGCTTCAATCGACTCATGATTTCAATCAGATCTATTATATGTTTAAAACTTCACTATAAGTCAATAGATCATAGATATTTAAGAATTGAATCTACTATGTTAGTTTTCATAAACTCTAGTCTATTTCATCGAATAATTTGTTTTTATTCTTTTTCATCATATTTATAGTTAAACCAGCAACTACTTCACCACCACCTACTACAACACCTCCCCCAACAACAACTGAAATGACAACTACTTCTGGTATGTAAATTATATTTATATTGTTATATAATACATTATGCATATTGCTATTTTGTCTACGTTATACTGAAAAAAACATTTCATAAATTTTTACAGACTTTATTACTGAAAACCATAATATGTCTGCGAGGAAGAAATCATGTTCCTATGCATCATGACTATCACCAATATATATATATATATATATATATATATATATATATATATATCAGTAGTGTTGTGGAGATTATAAGGTTTTTTTTATTGGGATCATGAACCGATTTAGAACATGGAAGTAATGAACGACCGTTCCGTCCTATTGCGGGACTCCTCAGTTGTGTGCATCCACGATCCCACCCGCGAGATTCGAACCCAGGACCCTCAGTACGGCGGGCGAACGCTTAACCCATAGAACACTGAACTGACCGAAATCCAACGGTGTTAATGTATAACCTTAATCATTCCACGAAATTGCATGCATATGTATAAACGAAGACTTTCGATTGTACATAAACGTCTTCATCTTAACAGGTCTATAAATTTTCCTGTGACAGAAATTTTCTGAGTTTTTTTGTAGAAATACCTTAAATTTATTGATTGTTCATTATGTGATGGGTGAAATGCTTTTACAAGCTTACATATCTACAGAATCATAACTTGTAATGATAATTAAATTAATTTTTTTGGAAATTAATGGTCTTTGTTGATATGTACAAATCTAGTGTTATATTCAGAAGAACATTTTAGACTTAATTAGCGATTCCTATCTGAACTTGCGTGCACGATCTGGCTCTTCTATCGTACACGGAACAACAAATGCAGGAAAAGACGATTAGTGTAGCAGCAGCCTCAGCAGCAGTAGGTCTAAACATGCACATACGGAAAAGCAAAATTAGCTGATACAACACAATATGCATCAATCAAATCACACTTGACGGAGAAGTCTTGGAAGATGTAAAGACATTTACATATCTAGGTTGCATCATTGATGAACACGCTGGATCTGTTGCAGATGTAATGGATCGGCAAAGCAAGAACAGCATATCCACAACTGAACAACATCTGGAACTCAAAACAACAGTCTATTAACCAACATCAAAGTCAGAATTTCCAATACAAATGTCAAAACAGTCCTACTGTATGGGGTGGAAACTTGGAGAACTACGACAGCAATAATTCAGAAGATACAAGTGTTTAGTAACAGTTGTCTATGCAAAATACTTCGGATCCATTGGCCAGACACGATCAGCAACCACCTACTATGGGAGAGAACAAACCAGATCACAGTGGAGAAAGGAGCGGTGGAAGTAAATAGTACATACGTTGAGGAAAGCACCCAACTGCGTCACAAGGCAAGCCCACATATGGAATCTTCAAGGCCAAAGGAAAAGAGGAACACCAAAGAACACATTACGTGGGGAAAGGGAGACACACAAGAGAAGAATGAACAACATATGGAAAGAAGTAGAAAGGATGGCCCAGGACTGAGTGGGTTGGAGAATACTGGTCGTCATCCTATCCCGCGAGCGGGATCGTTGATGCACACTGATGGGGAATTCCACAATAGGACGGAACGGCCGTCCAGTGCTTCCAGGTTTTCAGTGGTGGTCTAACATCAATCGGTTCATGATCTCAATCAAAATATTATTATTATTATCTCGATTGACACGATGAAATTCTCCTACTATACATTTTATTCACACGAGTTTTTTGCATTTTCATTTTTGTTATGTTACTATTCTACTGATTGTGACTGGACACTTTACTCCAAATCATTCTGACCTTTATTGAATGACCTTTCTAATTTACAAATATCACAATTTGCGAGTATATATATTGCAACAGATGCAAATGTTCATCATTTTTAACATAGAAAATTGTCAAATTTATTCATACATGCTTTACTTTAGCCTTTGTACAAATATCATCATTATGGACACATAACCGTAGAACCTGATGATGAAGTTATTGAAAACAGTTGTTCACTCAAATATTCTTCTTTTTTGATTATATAAAAGTATTAAACAAATCACTATCAGTCAGTCAGTCAGTAACAACGTGGAACTTCGTACGTACGTACATCAGTTCGAGTTGCCACACCATATTAGCACAGAGATGCAGTTGTCGATTCATATCCCGTAGTGGTAGAGGTAGTAAGAGTATAAGCAGTAATCGGAAAAATCAAGGTTTGAAGATATTATTTACAGAGCATAATACAGTGAAATAAATTTAGAAAGAGAAAAAAAGAGACTGACCTCCTTGCATAATACTCTAAGGGAGAACGGCTATCCTAGAAAGTTTATAACTAACTATATGATCACGAAGGCGAAAATAGGTGAAATACAAATAGTAAAGAAGAAATCCCTGTTCATGCGTCTTCAACTCAGAGGGGATGCGGCTAGTGAAATATTAACTCAGAGATTACGTAGGACAATACGAAAATCTTTTCACGCCGGAGAACTGCGATTAGTATTTTCTACGCGCCCAATGGTTACACCGAGGCTAAAAGATGTATTACCTAGAATGACCATCTCATTTTGTATTTATCAGTTCGGCTGCTCCTGTGGAGCGAGTTATATTGGTCGAAGTTCTAGGAATTTACATTTTCGTGTACGTGTATACCTTCCAGCGTGGCTAAACAAAGGTTTGATGAAGAAAGTGAACAGCCTAATATTGACCCATTTAGTACAAACCGGTCATAGTTCATTGATTTCAGACCATTAAATAAACATTTAAATGGTTACATTTTAAAAAAAAAATTCAATTAACAACAATCCTTTGAATAAATAACCACTTTATAGAATCTGATATTCTTCGATCTATATTAATAATAAGTTGAAAATTAAAATGAAACATCTAGAAACTATCCCTTTTTCATTAATCATTTCATCAACGACTATCAATTTATATCTAAAAATGGATTCAAAATTTAGTTCATCATTTTTTTAATTATTCAGATAGATCATTTAATTTTGTTATACAATAGAACTGATCATTTGTAGTTGTTAATATCAATGAAATGATAGAAAACAAACAATATAAGTAAATAACTATCAGAACTCAATAGCTAAATAGACAACGTGACGGCGTTTGAAACGAAATGTATTAGGTTTGAGTCTAAGAATGAACATGAAATTTGAGATGCATATATATCCAGATGACGAGTTTCAAATAGGATAAAACATGAATCATTAACTCTACTACTAGCCACCATTCATCTCCGCTTATAATATTTGTGACGTAATGACAATATCGATGAAATCTGCACAGGATAAACACATAGGCCAATAAGAGACTGGTTCATTGAAGTCTTAAATATCAAATGAGAAGATTCAAATAAATAATACAATAAAAGTGAATGACACTACATATTCATTATGATAAGTCTTGCAAATTGAACGCTGTATTCGTTTCCTAAGCTATTCTGTAATCCCTAAGCTAGAACTATACAACGACCTGAACAACAAGCGAGAAGACGCAACGTATTCGAGGAGTACTTTACTCCAAGGTTCATTTCAACACAGAAAATATAGTGTTTTTATAATATTTTATATTTTCTTGGGTTGCTCAAATGTTCTGGAATGCTACTAAACATAGTAACAGTATAGCAATCAGTCAATCAGAACCTCTACATGTGACGTTTCACTTCCTTGATATTTTTGGCTAGGACTTCAAGTGAACGATGATTGGATGAAACGCTTCTTAGTGTTTCCTGATCCTTGTTTGCCTTTTGCAAGAAATTTTCCGGATCACCCCAACACATTAATTATTTGAAACTATAGTATAGTATACTTTATGTAATAAACTACAATTTTCATAAACAGTTAAATATGTTTTAACAAATATTAGAATTAGACATTATTTTCTAATAGAAACAATTCAACAAAGTGTATTTATTAAATACTTCATTGAAATGGATGAAACAAACGATTTATAAAACTTATTATACAATCAAATTCACTGAGTGTTGTTTCATTTGTATCTTCTCATTGTTATTTGGGACTATAATTGATCCGTCTCATGTTGGCATATGTGCATCCTGTGCGTATTACTTCGATATGGCTTTAAGTTACAAGCTTTTTAAGCGAACATGGATAGATAGTAACTAGCAGTGGAATCTAGTTTGACGCGCGTTTCATCCTATTTTAAACTGGTCATCTGGATATACCTACATATTAGAGTTGATGTTCACTCCGGGCACATATACCAATATGAGACTGATCAATTGAAGTCCTAAATAATAATCAAAAGATACAAATGAAACAACACCAAATAAATGTAAACTTCACGTCATTGCACAAACAACTGACTATCAAAAGTCAGTAGTTAAATGGAGAACGTGATGGCATTTGAAACGAACGGTACTAAGTTCGAATCTTAAAGTGCAGATACATTCATCTGACGAGTAACAAAAATAGGACGAAACACATATCAAACTAGATTCCACTACCAATCACTATCTATCATTGCTTAGAATTTCTTTTTTTTTTCTTTCAATGATAATATTTTACTAAAATAATAATTATTATTAGATAGAATAAATAACATAAAACAATCACAACACCCATAATAATCATAATAAATACTGAAAGGAATGAAATATAATCCCTATAATTAAATTTTTAACATCCTTCTATCTTGTTTTCTTCTTTCTCTGGTAAAATAAAATAAACAGAAATAAATGAATCTTAATTTCTAATGTAATAACAATTATGGAGTGAAAAATTTCAACAACAACAACAACAACGACAACAACGACAATAACAACAAAAAATTAAAAAATAAAAAATAAAAAATTCTGAACAAATGAGCATAAGTGAAAAATAATAAAAAAAAACAACAAAAAAACAAAAAAACAAACAATAAAACTCCATTAATAATTAATAATTCTTTGAGAGATGAAAAAGAAGCAAAAAAAAAAAGAAAAAAGAAGCGTATAACAAACTTAAAACGCACACTTTCTTTTTCGCTCTTTCTCTCCCTCTCTCTCTTTACAAAATAAGAAAAGAAAAAGAAAAAAA